CATGTTTCTGGTAGGGGAAATTGTTTTGTAATGTTAACGGATTTTTGGTTTGTTTTAAATTAAGTCTGTTCATTTTTTTATATTCGTGTATATCGCATTTCGAAGTTTTATATATTGTAATGTTTTCAAGTACATAATTACCAGTACAATGGTTACATATAAGAATAAATTTTATTCCACTTGAATTCTAATATACTTGAATTGTAGTATACTAAAAATACTAAAAACTATATTGTATACTAAGAGAGATTAAATAAATATTACGGAGATATAAAAAACATATGTTTTTGCTAGTTTGGGTCCGCGGGTTCCTGAGTGTAAGAAATGAGTTAGCCAACCGTTCGCTGTCAATGAACCAAAATGTATCCCTGAAACTATTATTTCTATTACTCAATATCTTCTTAAAATTTTGCAACTGAAATGTTAAGAAGTGAAAAATACAACAAGTAATATTACAAATATACGGTGATTTTCAAACTCTTTATTTAGCACCTGCAATATTTTAATAGCAATTATTCTTTTCATCGATTGTAAAACATAATTTATTTCAGGCGCAGCAACTAAATCTATACTAATATTATAAAGCTGAAGAGTTTGTTTGTTTGTTTGTTTGATAGCGCTAATCTCCAAAACTACTGGTTCGAATTGAATAATTCTTTATGTGTTAGATAGTCCAGTTATCGAGGAAGGCTGTGGGCTATATGACATCACGCTACGACCAATAGGAGCAAAGATATAGTGGTAAATGAGTAAAAAACGGGAGAAATTATTTCATCTTTGAAGCCTTCCGTTGTGTGCACCGTGAAAACGGTTCGAGATACACAAAAAATATGTACTAAAGAATAATAGCTATTTTAATGATCTAAAAAACAGTCCGCGACAGTATATGTCTATCTTTTAAGATTAACTCACAAAAACCGTTTTTATGGTACCTAATTTGGTTGATATAATTTGTTTAAGTTGTATCAACATAATAAAATTAATCTTTATTCAAATAAACAAATAAATATGTTGTTGGTTAAGAGTACTTCATTGTGAATAAAAAAAAACATATGTTTTATCCTGAAAATTCTACGGGAACTCGACCATTCCGAAAACCCCGCAAGAACGGGAACTATGTGGGAAGAACCAAAAATCTGCCGGAAGTCACTATTCCACGCGGACGAAGTCGCGGCAAAAGCTAGTTAAAAATAAAATAAGAATAAAAACATGTGAACATAATATATTTATATTTAAAATTTCAATATTTATATTTAAAATTTCAATATAATTACTTCAGATGACACGTCTGCTAATAGTTTTAATCGTGAAGGAACATACATTAATATGTTTCAATTTTTCATTATTTTTGACAGAGTAATCGGTTTTCTATATCCTAATTATTATAAGGCACCTTTTCCTGTTAATAATTTTTTTGTCATTTAACACTAAAATAGAATTTTCTTTAAAAATCAAGTATTTTTAATAGTCCAAGAGCCCGGGGCCCCCAGACGTTACTTATTTTCTGAGTAACGAAAAGTATCGTACAGAGTGGTGTTAGGGTATACGTTGAAGGTATGCATACCTGCTAACTTGGGCCGACGGCCAATTCACAGGTACCAGGTGCTAGAGGTACATAAAAATATTGGTCACTTTTCTTAAATTCTGAGAGCTGATTTTTATATATATTTTAAAAAATTGAATTAAAAATTTAAAATTAATAGTGCCAGAACGTTTTCGTGGGCGGTAATTTACGCCAGAAGCTTTAAAGTTTGGAAAAAAATAACGTAAGTTTACTCAAAGTCTGAGTCTTGATTTTTATATATGACTAGTTTTTGCCCGCGACTTCGTCCGCGTTAATTTCGTCATTAGTAATATAGGTATAGCTGACCGGGCAAACTCTATTCCGTCTTCAATAACCCGGAATTGGTATTTATTAAATTTCTACTGTTTCAATCGAACAGAATGATTGACATATTAGTTAGTTGTCAAGTCTAATGTCAAAAAATCGTTTGTATGGGAATTAGAAAAGGGCTGTTATTAGGGTTTTCCCGGTAATAATTCCAATTTTTCTCACCTTTTATACCTTCCCTGGACTTCCAGAAGTATTTCCAGACTAAAATTAGTCACATCGGTTCAGCCTTTCTCGAGTTTTAGCGAGACTAAGGAACAGCAATCCATTTTTATATATATAGAAGATATTTTAGAAACTATTTTAAAACTATTTCTATGCGGCCAGAAAAATTCTAGGGGCCAAATATCTCCCAGACATATTTAAAACTCGCCATGAGTATTAACGCGCACATAATGTTCGCGGTTTTATATCACAGGCCTGTTGAATTTATGTTTTAGTTCAGTCTTGTAATTTTTTAAATAATAATCAAACCATATTTTAGTGCCCAATTACAAATTATAAATTTCAGTATGATAAAAATTATTAAGTTATGAGTGGGAAGGTTCGTACGAAAAGTAACAAAAAAAATAATTTTGTTACTAGCATTTTATCCTGTAAAAAATATTTATTTGTATTTTTCTACAAAACATAGAGAAATATGTAGAGCAAATATTATAAAAAAAATATTTAAGATGAATTACTTTCTTTATTAATAATAATTAAATTTTAGTTTTTAATATTCGTCATTGTCATCATTGGTATTTGAGAACTCGTCATCCAGCCAATTATTGTATTGAGTCTCTAAGTCATCATCATCATCATTAATATCAGTATTACTTGTTTCTGTCTCTGTAAAATCAAATAAAATATCAAAATTATGAGTAAAATAGCTACATATTTATAAAAGAAATTTTTAAAAAAATCTAAGTTTTTGTCAAGCGATTCACTGACGGTAACTGGTCTCCATCGAACCAATTAAATTGATATCGCTTGTCTTCTAGCTTCCATCCGTTATTCTCTGGTCTGAAAATACCAAGCATCTTCATATGAGCATTATTCCAAGAGACTAGCGATGTAATTTGCTCTCCGGAACTGCTGTCGAAGTTCAGTCTTACGCGGTGGTAAGTTGCTCGCATCAAAGTTTTTAATATTTTTCAGGATAAACTCTTCATTTACATCAGAAGCAGTATAGGTGTTGATAAGCTATTAAAGTCTTGCAGCATCTACATCAATGACTCCGGCCACGTTATAAACATTGCAAATAAAGTTTTGGATGGTATTGAAGGTTTCTTCCTCAAGTTCACTATTACTACTGAATAACTCCAGTTCGCTAAATCTGCAAAGTGCTTTTTGGTACTCTTCGTTTTTTCTAAGAATACTGAATGGCCTTTGTTTACCTTTCTTAAAAAAAGCAGGATTGTAATCACAGCCAGTGATCGCATGAAAGCCTGGTAAACTTTGAGATAAAGACGGTTCTTATTCCTCGTAAATAATGATCTTATGCATACTCATGGCTGCATAGAAATAGTGTTAAAATAGTTTCTAAAATATCATATATAAAAATCAAGACTCAGACTTTGAGTAAACTTACGTTATTTTTTTCCAAACTTTAAAGCTTCTGGCGTAAATTACCGCCGACGAAAACGTTCTGGCACTATTAATTTTAAATTTTAATTCAATTTTTTAAAATATATATAAAAATCAGCTCTCAGAATTTAAGAAAAGTGACCAATATTTTTATGTACCTCTAGCACCTGGTATCTGTGAATTGGCCGTCGGCCCAAGTTAGCAGGTATGCATACCTTCAACGTATACCCTAACACTACTCTGTACGATACTTTTCGTTACTCAGAAAATAAGTAACGTCTGGGGGCCCCGGGCTCTTACTCTATAAGCTATGCTTAACAATATGTCGTTTAATATATTATATTCAACTTTCGAAAGACCTTATACAAAAGCAAAATCCTGTGCAATGTAATTTTAATTTATCAGTTCATCTTATTTTTGACCGACTTTAAAAAAGGAGGTTATCAGTTCGACTTGTATGTATGTAATATTTCCAGAGTTGCCCAGTTTTCGTAAATTTTAGTGTATATCGGCGTCTGAAAAAGTGTGGTAAATTTCAAAAGATTTTGTATGTATGTAAAATTATGTTTGTGTTCGTATGTATCCGAAATTACAAGTCGGGTTTAAGTAATTCTTATTTTGCTTGTGCTAGATCTTATTTTACTCAGGAAATACTGCAAACTTCATTAAAATCGGGTCGTAGTTTTTGAGATAGGGAATTGTCGGGAAGGATTTTGTAATATGCCATTATAAATAATTATTAATTACAATCAGCGACATGCAAAAGAGAAGCAGTTTATTAATAATTGTTATCCGCGTATATCTCATTAATATAGATGTTTAGTCGCATGAATGACTTAAAATAAAATGTTAAAGTAGTCGCTATAAGAGGTATAAGAAAACGCTTTAATAAAAATATAAATGTTTATAATATCTTCAAAACTATCAATTATTACTGAGCAAAATGCACCAGTTCATTTCATGGCAGACATTTTGATTCAATATTGTTACAAAACATGATTATCAGATAAAGAGCCTTTTCTTATATTTTAATCCAAATGCTTTATAGGCCCTTTAAATTCTATTAACTAAATATTACAATACAATTTTTAAAGTCCATATTTTACACTTTTTAAACCACATATTTAAAGGACAGTTTATCATCAGTCAGTCACTGTGTCAAATGATAAGACAAACGAGCAATAAAATAAAATCTAAACATACATTCTAAAGTATTAATATGTTTTTATTGAAGTCAAATGTAACAAACCAACTGACAACAGATTTTAAAAGAAAATAGTAATTTTAAACGGCAAAATGAGCAACGGTTTTAAAATATTAATTAAAAACTTCCATATTAATAATTAAAATATCGTTTTTATCCATCGAATGCAAGTGTAATCCTTTTAATGAAAGTTACACCGCATGCCTTTGGTTTTATTGGATCATTTTAAGAACACGTTTCACAGTTGATATACGTGTCAAATAAAAACATGTTAATAATATAATAAACTTAAATCCTTTCTTATACTATGCATCATTAGTATAATATCACATTGTATCACAGTTCGGTTCTAATGGTACAGATGTTGTAGAATTCTTTCTCTGGTAGAACGAACTCCTTGGTATTTTCAATGAACTTCTCCAAGCTACAGTGGGAGCTGTTCTCACAGAAACTGAAGTGAAGAACTTGTACTGACGATGCTCCAGCTCGAGGTAGATAGATAGGCTGAAATTATTAACACACGTTTTATAGTCTTGAATCGTGCATTACTAAATTATCTTAAGGATGTTTTTATTCAAGTTTTGTTGAACAATCCAGTCACCAATAATGTACTGTTTGGTGACCATCAAATTTTGAAATGAAACTAATATAATTAGGATTACTGCGCGTATTTTATTATTTTAAACTACATACGTTTCGGTTACTTTTAAGCAACAATGATCACAAAGATGAGATATGAAAAATATTAGTTTCATACTGAACACTCTAAAGTCTTATATCTCATGATGACCAGTTCAACATACCACAACTGAATATTCCCCGGTCGTCTTTGACTTGTACAGCTCCAAGGCAAACAATGCTCCATACTCCGGGTTGCTCTGTTCGTGTCTGATGACCTTGGTAACCTCCATCAGGGAGCCGATGTTGAAGTCATGTCCGGAGAACATTCGGAAACGTTTCTTCATCGGCTCACCTGATGATATCTTTTTTGCTGCTTCGATGAAATCGTTGAGCAGCACTCCTAGAAATAACGATTTTATTAATATTCTTACCATTAAATATTATATAAGTAGCTAATGATAGATATCTAAGGAAATGTTTCCTATTAATCTCTGAAGATCGTTCTATGTCCGTTTCTATTTTTAAGACAAAGTATTCATGGTATTTAAAAAAAAGTTCTAACAAGTCAATCAATTTCAACAGAAGTTTTCTGACAGATTTTCCAATGAATCTTATCGATTGACCTTATATATTAGTATGTATTATACTCGTACAATATAGTAGGACAGATGGAAAAAAAAGTAATGATTATTGCTAAACGTTGTTGCAGTACAAATATATCTATTTCAAGTAACATATTTCAGTTATATTTTTGTAGATTCTGCAAACAGACTTGTGAAGTTGAGTTCAACGTCTCATAGTGAGGTTCCGTTTGAGACAAGTTTTGTTTTTAACTAAAACTTCTGGTGTCGATTGCCTGTAACTTACTTTGAAAGAATCTAAACAAGTTTCTGAAGCAGAGCAGTCATTACTTTGTACTATGAACTCCTACAAACTAAACTATCAATAAAATAAATAAAAATATATAGTACTGCTTATAATAATTTATTATTTGAAGTATATTCTACTTTACTATGATTTAATTCATCTCATTTATACAATTAAAAGTATTTACCACAGTTATGCTTCTTTATAAATAACGTTTTTGGTTTTATTCTGTAGTTTCTATAAATATTTAACTTACCTCCTCCAATTTTCTTCATTTCGTCAGTTTTAAAGTAGAGCCTGTAAGCTAACCTGGCTGCTTCCCCTAGCTTGGGTAGTAAAGGTTTCGCCCATTCTGGAATGTCTAGTCCTAAACTGACCTGAAATGAGAAAGTTACTTTATAAATTGTTCCACAAAAACATATTGGTAGTTTAAATAACAAATTATCTTATGTTCTTTAAGCCTGATTAAAAAATACACACATATAAAGTGATTCTTAAGGAAAGCAAAATTAAGTCATCGAGAAATCACTTAGGAAAATACTTAATGTCCAAGTTAAATATGTCACAAGAATAAGGCTCAAAGAAAATTTGTAATGTTGTTACAACGAGAACTGAAAAAAATAGTTTTACTTAAAAATCTTTTCTCTGAGCGAGTGATTAATTAAAAAACTTCTAAAAAAGAGAATTGAGATTCGAACACTTTTGTCATATACATGATTACATTTAAATATTTTAACTAAGTGAGACATTAAAAAGTTAAAATATATGCTTTAAATTAAAAACTTTAATTCATATAATGTAGATTTCGTGCGTAATAGTTATTTTAACCCCTTATATTGAATCTTAAAAAAATATTATCTGTATTCCTTTAGTTACAATTATTTATTGAAGAAAAACACAAAAATTTGACAATTTACGAGATATTTGTTTGCAATACAGTGGGCAGAAACAGACATGTGAATCAGCATCATAGTAATATTTGAATTATAAGAGAGGTGGGCTATTAGTTGCGACTAATTACCTCGAATACTGAATGTGTACACCGAACAGAAAGAAGATAATATATACTTTATTAACACAATAATGTATTATTTCGTAATCGATAAATATAAACAATATAAGCAAAGCCTTTGCTACAGCCCAGTATTTATAAAAATTTACAAAATAACAGAAATTAAACAATTGAAGTTGTGTAGAAGTTAATGCCTAGCCCGTTAGAAGTACCCTGAAATATAAGATCAATAGTATGAATGTTGTAGTATCCTACCGTGCTTTTAAACAGATCGAATATAGTCTGAAACTGGATCGGATCCTCGCTGAAGTCTTTCCCTGTCTCCTTCAACACCAGAGAAACCATATCCTTGAATTGATGGAATTCTTCCAACACGGCCTTTTTCTTAGCAATAGCCATGAGCTCCTTGAATTTCTGGCAATTAGCATAATACCGCAACTGAAAACAAAGAATTACGGTTACTGTATCTATTCTACATAAGAAAAGTATTGGATGAATATTGAAATGAATATTTATCGACAACTTTGTAAATTTTAGGAATCTATCTTAAAATTCTTACACAATATCGCGTGGGTTGAAACAACTGAAACCTTTTAAAATTATTCAAAAGTTAGAAGTATATTTTTTCGATAAAAAACTTTATGGTACATCTTGCCTTTAGCATTGAAATATAAGTCTAAGATACAATTAAGTTTGATCATGATATTTTATTATAGATTAGTATTATCTATTATATATTTGCCTATTATCTAATGTTCCTGCCACGATGTCACTCCTTACGTGATGTGATATCAAAACTATTCATTAAATTTATCTATAGAAAAACTACATATGTGCTATGAGGGTTGGCAACTAAGTTTCTATTCATTGTTTTTCATTATCTTTTGTGGGTGCCTAACGCTCACTTACATAATCCTCTGACAGAGGTATGGCTGTGTAAGGGACCGGCTGCCAGATCTTTCCCAAACCTTCGTCCCACTGTTCCTCTGGCTCTGGAGGGAAGACAGCAGCCATCACGATCTGTGCGGTCATCTTCGTTCTGTCTTTATCAGTACTCCTGATCTCTACTTCACTTGGCATATATATTTTAGACAGCAGACCATAGCCCTCGTGTCCGTAGCGTTGACGAATGAATTTACCTATTTCATACGCCCGACGTTTACCAGCCTAAAAATTGTAACTTATTGAAATAAGTGAATTAGATTAACACTCATAATTAGATAAGAAAATTATGAAATCCCTACTAATATTATAAATGCGAAAGTAACTCTGTCTGTCTGTTTGTCCGTTACGCTTTCACACCTTAACCACAGAACTGATTTTAAAGACATTTGGTACAGACATAGAGTTGACCTTGAGAAAGAACATAGGATAGTTTATATTACAGACTTTTAAAAAGTTCTCTTGGAAACGCGATATAACCAAACTCCACGCGGGCGAAGCCGCAGGAGGAAAGCTAGTTATAAATAACGTAAAGAAGCATACAAGTTATACAAAATGTGTGATCATTTGATAAATAATTTATTTTCTCAATCAATGAAAGAGTAAAAGGGTCACTATTAACGAAAATTAGTAACTAAGGCTAAGGCTAATTATGATATACGATTAAAATTAAGTAGTAAAAACTAATTCAATTGAGTAGAACAGCTATCAAAACCAGACCAAAAACATTTAATTATTTGTAATAATTCGACAAACATCTAAAATAAATAAAACTAACTTTCAATAAAATATTCTGTAACAAAATGTTGTAAAAAAATTGCTTACTTTCTAAAAAACTCATAATCTTTTATGTATTTATTAATAAAAAATTATTAATAAAAAATCAGTCTGAGATATTTTATTATTAAAAGACATTTAATATAAAGGTCTTTGTAACTGAATGATTTTGTTTCATTTCGCAATGTATTGACTTATGTTTATACATACTCGTATGTACTCGTAGTTCCGCTTGGTTACAACAACACGGAAAAATCTTAGAGACTTATTAAATATCTTTTTTTTATCCGCCTGCTTTATTGATTTCTGATAGAAATGTATTTGTACTATATAATGTTAATACTATACATATATTAACAGATGAAAAATAATATAAAGACAAATTTCTTAGCTTCTCTAAGGAAGACTTATAAATTGTTTAACTTACGTTAGTCAGTCCCTCTAAACCTTCGATGTGTGTCAAGTTTCTCAACTTTTCTTGTTGATCTGATAGCGCTAATTCATCAGAATCTGGTGCTCTTTCTCCATGACGATTAACCTGAAGAATATTATTATTCATTTAAGCAATATTTTTTCGAATTAACAAAAATGAGAAATATATAGGGATCCATATAGAAATATATAACTTCGCCGATTTGAATAAGATTATATTAGCTAAGTTAATTAAATGATTTATTATATTGTGTATGTAGCAGGTTCGCATTCATTTATACCAATAATATCTTTATTCAACTTTGAATTAATTTATATTATACCAATATTGGAATTAAGCCTTAAAATTTAATAATGAAATTGTAAAAAAAATAGTTCCTGAGTTCAATTCGATGCACTCATACACATAATATTTTAAAAAAGCATCAATGACTCCCAAAAATAAAACATAATCTACTACTTACCACAAAAGCTAGCACCATTTCCTCGTCAGCCACCTCATTGGAGATGTCGCTGCCTCGCAGTAACTCCAGTTGTAGTAGGACTATTACGAGGTAACGCCACATCTTCTGTAACCACAAATATTAATTAATGTTTTAGAATGTTGTTAATTGATTTAATGATATAAAACCTATTATAATTATCGTTCTAATCTATGATATACGATGTCATAGAAATGAGTAAAGGAAATTGTTATGGGGAATGAAATCATTCTCCTACAACTATTTGGATACTATCAAACATAACCTAGTTTGTTTTAAAAACATAACAGCTTAAAATTTTTATTTATTTTAACAAGTCTTTCTTAACCCATTAACCGCCAAAATTAAAACAGCAGTAGTATTTTTACAAAACATTTATTTTCATGTTGCCTATGGGTCAAATAAACATAAAATAAAATAATATTTTGAAAAAGAAAATCAGGCTTTTCAGGAGAAGGGTGTACACAATTGAGTACAGCGGCTTATTATAGGTGAAATTTTTCAAAACGTTGGTTTTCAAAACATAATGTTTTTACACACTTTATGCATTGCCAACGAACTCTTGTTTGACAAATAACACCTCGCAATGATTTTGTAACCTTTTCGGATAGTGCTCTACACTATTTTGAGCTAAACCTTGTAATGTTGCATGAACCCACCGCCACTTTTTTCGTGAACAGCAATCTTATACAGTGCAATCGATTGGTATAATTCATCGACTCCCCCCATATTTTAGTAGGTATATGTTTACTGTTTAGCTATTTTGACATAAACCAACAAATCTTCCTTGGTTACTTTATGATTACCAAAAAGTATCAATATACCTATGAACCTATTCAAATCATTGGAGTCCAGTTGAAAAGTATGTCTGCTATTTTGATAAGCATATTCAATTGTATTCGTAATTAACTTCTTCATCAAACATTTATTTAAATATCTGTACGGGACTGAGTTCTCCGAGTTGTTCTTTTACTGCCTCCTGTCTTTCTAGCATATCAGTTCTTTCTTCAGTCGTCGAAGATTATGGAAGGGAACATTTACGCCATACAGGCTGACATAGCTGCTTTCGCCTTTTCATTTCTTTTTCAGTCAATGATTCCTCCTATTATCGTCACTTAAAATGTTGTCCTCGTTAGCTCTAAGAAACTCAATATTGCCAGGCACATCCCGCGGCAAAGATGCGGTAACCATGTCTTCGTCAAAACCTTCCTCTTCATTTGTAAGGATGCTGAGATCTGGCTGTATAACAGTCGTAATCCCCTTCATTGTCACTCTCATCCAAAACAGCATTGACTCTGATCCTTTGTAACAGTTAGAAACGCTAGAATATTTCGAACTCATGGTAACGAAATACTAGAACAATAAGCGCAATCGTTATATGGATTCGGCCGCTGTACGCAATCGAGTACAGTTGTATTTCAAGTACGATTTCTTTGTAAATACTTGTTGTAAGATACTCTTTTATTATTGATTTTACGAATAAGGATGTTGACTACAAGAAACATAAATATATCCGAAATTTAGGTTATGTAATATAAAAAAAATAATGTATCAGCGAACTTACCTCGATAAACGATTACATCGCGAAGTTCATAGCCTTACTGTGACAGATTTTATGAATATACCCACGTAAATTGTAATTTTTTTGATGCTCAAACTATCATTTTTAATTATGAGACGAAAAAAACAAATATAGTTTAGTAAAGTGATTATCTACCTTCAATTGATTAGGTGTACACAATCGGGTACAGAGGCGCCAAATGGGTTAAGACATTTTTTTTTGTCAGTTTGAAATAATTTTTTTTGAACATGTTTGATTCTTCAACTAATCATGTCATTATAACCAGACTCCGATGTTGTTTTAATACAATATAATGTATGTAAATATATAACTATGTAACTTTATAATTTGTTTTCGCGTCTCTAGTTAACATGAACTTTGTCAAACAGATGATGTCTTTGAGGTGTTATGTAAAATTAACATCGCTTTTCAAGATGCAACATCTTCCTTGAAGCAAACAGTGAAAGTACAACCTGTATAAATTTGTATCACAATACTGTTGACACAGCTGTTTTAGATACACCTCTAGTTGAAAAATAACTTCGAGTCTTCCGTTTCTAAATTTTAACCGACTGTGAAGACTGGGTTAAAGAAATTAGGTAGAAGATTTTGTATTAATATTTAATTATTTTAAGAGACTTTATGTAATGGTAATATATATAATGATAATATATGTAATGACAATATAAATAAGTAAAACAAAAAGGCTAACCTTTATACAAAGAACGTCAGAGCTCACTCCTGAGCAAAAGCCTCTTTCTCAAATGGAGAAGATTGCATGGTTTTGCTTCGCATTTTTTAGCACACGAAAATAATTAACGGTTATGTTGACACCATTTTAAAGGAACGTATTTCTAAATATTTTAATATCTTTCTGTCCAGCTGTGGACAGTGCGCACCTAGATGATAATGTTTAAAAATGTCAGAGGACCCTCTTTTTACAGCGTTTAATACAACCATCATCGCTACCGTGGTAAATTCTGGAATACCACCATTTTACCCAAAACTTTAAAAATCGAAGTATTGAAGTAGGATTTTACAATAGGATGATAAAAATATATTCACTGATTTATTTATAAAAGGTTATACGACATCAAGTGGACTATGTTTATTTCCCGAAATCAAATATTCACAACATGTTTTATAATTAAAAGGTGACGATCTTTGCCCTTGTTATCAATAAGATTATAATAGTTACGTTAAATTTATTTGATATAGGTGTCAGGAGTTCGACCTTCCTTATCAAATACTTTGACTAGATGAGTTATCCGATATAATAACTAATTTGTAGTAACAATGAATGAGTCTCTTCCAGTCTATGGGATTTTAGTTCTATGTAACAAAATTTATTGTACTACAAGTTTAATCGTTAATTAATCTCTGCATATAAATGGCATTGCTGTAGTTTTCTCAAGTAAAACCTTGATACGTTTCATTTAAAGAGTAAACAGGCGACATTCAGGAATTAACTGGATGCAGTTTTAAGGACAGTCTTTCAGGAAATAAGGTTGATAACGATAAAAAGGTAGTTGCAATTATATTGATATAGAAATATCTTAAAAATTATATACTAGCTTGAGAAATAATTCTGTTTATAGTGTTACAATAATAACGATCATTAGTGGGACATGTGCAGGACATGTGTGTCTTATCATAAGGAAACATGTCTTCAAAACAAGCCTTAAGGTAAATTATATACTCTCAATGTATCAAATAAATATTGTATATATAACAACGGACAGAGACTATATGTATATATAAAAGTGTTTTCTTTATTTACAAAGAATTTTTTAGGAGAGTATTGAGAAAAGGCGTATTGATTTTATTGGTCATTATATGATACAATTTAATATAGTTCTACATTTTTTGATAATAACTTGTGTCAGTGATTTTATCCACGTGAGTTTCACGATATCAAAATTTAAAATATAAGAATAACATATGCTTAAACAAAAGATAAAACAATAATCAAATGACTAAGGGGTTATTATTTGTATTACGCGAAGTCATTACGGATATTTTTGAAGTGTGTTTAGGCTGAAACTAAATTGTATTTTCTATATTAATTATAGGATTAAATTATTCTGATAGAAAGCCAATATTTTTATATGATTTCATTGTACATTATTCTAGTTTTTAAAGGATAGTGTAAGGAACAACCACACATAACTACCTGCCGCAAATATTGTCGTTCATAATACTCATAGGAGAAAATACATGTTTCTTAAAACAAGATATGAGAATCGAAGGTCGATAATAATATTCGTATAATATTTCGATCATGTATAAATCTGTTTTGGTTCACTTTTCAAATGTGTCAAGTGGTATACCATCAAGGACTTAAATCTGTTTACTCACTCAACTAAGACTTCATCTGTCACTGGATATACATACATATATATAAATATATAAAAGAAAGTCGTGTTAGTTACACTACTTATAACTCAAACTCTGTATGGATTTGCCTGGAAATTTGTGGGGAGGTAGGTTAGAATCAGGAGACAGACATAGTATACTTTTAAATAGGTTAGGTTTAATTTAAATAGGTATACAAAAAAAATCTAAGAAAAACTGTTTATTTACTTTACTTTATTTGCGTCTTAATCGAAACAGTTTGCCCGGTCAGCTATACATTTCTAATTATGAAAGAAGCGCGGACAAAATCGTGGGCCAAGCTAGTATATATAAGTGAATTCTTAAATTAATTTTATTTTACCGTCTCTTTTATGATAAAGAGCAAGTCTTGTTGACTTCTTTGTTGTCTCCACTTTATTCAAATTACAAAATAGTATGAATAGCTCTATTAGTAGACGTCTTGTTGGCGGACACATTAGAGTAAATATCAAATTTGCTCCATACAAATAAATAAACAATTAATTACTCTTTTACGTAGTAAACTAAGTAAACATTACAAAAGTTCTACATATCGTACTAGTCTACTCAGATCTGTTATTTTTATTTCATGAGAAAGGCAGCCTACTTGATCTGCAGTAGTCACCGTCGCCCATGGACATCCGGAACATAGATGTTGCGAATACAACCAGCCAACCTTGGTTTTTTAAGAATAGGAAGGGGTGGGAATAAGGAAAAGTTGGGAATAGGGGAAGGGCAACCGGCTCCTTCACTAATGTACCAAAACGTATCCATTAAAGTCTACTTCCCCGGTCGAGCCAGCCCATATTTGAGATGTAGTGACTGACCACAGCTAGGCTTTACCACCTTATATTAGGTACAAATAGGTATCTTCATATAATTAACAATATATTCGAGACTGTGAATTATTAAGTATATTAGTTAAATTAGCGTTGTGATCATTTTTACATGCAAGTCATCTACCACAAAGCAATCCCTGTAAAAGTTTCAAACAATATTTTTTTTATCTCATGAATCATATGATGTAACGCGGCATGATCTATACGAGATTATGTATGAAGTTACATAAAAATGAAACGTTAAAAGTTAGAGACACTATACAAATTACGAGTAGGTATAATTGTTTTGTTTCGTGAATGAATGAGTTATT